TTCTTCTTCGGCTGGAAACTTGTCCGGTTCCACATCCCGGCGCAGTCGCACGCTGAGCCCGGCTCAGCTGGCTTTGCCGCTTGCTGTCTGACGCCGCCGCCCAGTCCGCCGCCGCCACCGCCACCGCCACCCAACCCCCCTCCTCCTTCCCTGCCGCCGCCCCCCCCGCCCTCGACTCCGCCTCCGTCACCGCCGCCTTCACCGCCGCCGCCGCTGCCACTCGATGTGCCAACTCTCCTTGCGAGCTGGGATTCGACCGTCGGATGCGCCGAGTACCTCGAGTCCAGCGCATGTGCGCCGCAGAGATGCAGTGCTTCTGGCGACGATTCGCCCATTGGCGACGCCTTCCGGTGCTGCTGCACCGTGCTCCAGCGAAACGGCCCCCGAGAGCAGCTCTCCGACTACTTCTTCCCGTGGCTCGAGAGGGAAGGGCTCGAGGCCTTTCAATTGGCACAGATCGATATTGTCAATCACAAGGAGGAGGCCGCTATCGAGAGGCTACGGCCCTTTTGCATCAGAGACCAGCTCGCCACCCCGGGCTACCTTGGCCTCGAATCGGACGGCGATGGGGTGCCGGACGCCGACAGGATGGCGTTGCCGGATGGCGTGGTCGTCGTCCAACGGGTGGTCTGCGGGGCGCTCGAAAATCTCGAGCGCGGCATCGACGTCTTCGGCTACAAGCGAGGCACCATCGCGCCCCTTCAGTACGCCGACTACGAGAAGCTGCTGGACAGCATCGCGATAGAGATGCGCGGGGTTGAGGACAAACGCGATCAGGCTGGCACGCACACCGCGGGCAACGAGTTGACGGTAGGCATTCTGAAGATTGACGAGAGCTTCATGGAGAAGCAACACAAGCAGCAGAGCGAGTACGTGAAGGGGCTGCGCAGCTCAATCACGGCTATCGATCAGAGGATGCGGGGCGCGCTCGAAAAGCTCAAGGAAACGGAGGGGGGGATGCGTCGTCAGCAGCAACGCGAGAAGCTGCTGATCGCGACTATGGTGGCGGACAACACGGTTCGAGACTCGATCTCTCGAGACTTGATGGTGCGTGCTGCCCGTGTAGTCTCTGTCAGTAGTACTCGAGACAGTAGGATGACTCACACTCTCGCCTTTGGACCGTAGGATGAGACCAAAAGGACCCTGGACGCGGCCGTGGCCAACTGCCTATATGCGGGCTTGGAAGGGGGCTTGCAAGCTTGCTGCTTATTTGGAGCTGTCCCGATTTGCTGCGCGGCGGTGCACACCAACTTCGTTGATAGGCTGCTGCCCGTGCCGGCCTCACGGGGTCCAAGGCAGCTGTCGTCCTTGCCCAAGGCACAACCTAAGGCAACGGGGCCGGCTGTTGTGCCGACGTCGGCGAAACCTCCATCAACGCGGACAGGCAAGGAATGTCACGATTTTCGTGGGGCACCACTGCCTTGCGACGAGCTCGAAAAGGCGCGTCGCTTCAACAGCCGCACCGTGCCGGGCTACTTCCTGCGCAGCAGCTACGGCACCATTCGCGATCGAATGAACAGGGCCGGGCTTTTGCACACGGCAGCTGGCAGGTGGGAGGTCGGTCACGCTTGCCCGAACGAGCCAGATACGAAGAGGTCCAGTGGAGTGGAAGATAAAGGGAAGAACCTCTTCGCTCAGACTCATAGCGACAACGTGCGACACGCCTTCGCCTATGGACGTGGCCTTGGCAACTGCCAAGTGTCGTGCAAAGAGGCCGGATTTTACGCCGCGCGGCACGTGCCCTGCAACCCAGCTTGCTCTTATGGCGAGGATTGCTGCGTTCACTTCGAAACGTGTGGTCGGGCGCTCAAGTCCGAGATCCAGGCAGAGAACGGCGCCTGTCAGGAATTGGGGGCGCGACGGACGCTGACGCAATGTTCCTTCGGGTCCGAAAGCTTTGGGGCCATGGTACAACAACCCTATGGACATGGGTTGGACGCTGCTCAAGATGCAGTTCTTGTACAAGCTGGCCGATTTTGGCA